TAAATAAATGTATAATCTAATTACTATACACATTACTGAAAATAATAACAGTAAGAATAGTAATGCAAAACTGCTTTATTTCTAGCAGTTTATACAGTACATTTTAATAAATATGGTTCCCGCAGTTTAAACACATCTTTATGACAAGGACAGAACAATCCCTGATGCATCACATTGAAGCAGACCGAGTTCAAATTTAACATGGAATCATTTCTTCTGAGGCAATGAAGCTTTGCCGATTAAGAATACACTATAACCGGTTCCTGAAAAATAAAAAAAACAAAAAAAAGATGAAAGTCAAGCTGAACATTCATTTAATTGCAAAAAGCTACAACCAAAAGATCAGCTTTTATCAAGTCCAAGGTGTATGAAATAACATTACAGGTAAAGTACCGTGACATAGTGATACTACGAACACCTGCACTTTTTTCCCCCCCACAGGTCTTAATTAAGCCCTCCCCACTTTTTGGTAAACTCGTAATTTTGTTGCTTAAACTCCAAAACATCCTGGCAGACAGTACAACATTGCTGTTATAATATATGCTGTAATTGTATAACAAAATCACTAGGAGCAGTATTCAACTTGGTTTTATTACTTAAGGCTTCAAAATCAAACCAAGCTTTATTCTTGGTTTATTTTGGCAAAGTTCACCTTTGCAGAAATGTTCTCATGCATTCAAACATTTGCATTAGAATAAATCGACTGCAGCATCAATTTACACCTAAGGGTATAAAGTACAAGTAGCACATAGCCCCACTCTGATCTGTGTAAGGACTGTTGAGCAGCATAGTCAGACAGCATTCCCACCTCCCACAGTTTCCTACCCATGCTGCTAACAAGGCTTCTAGTATGTAGCTAGATGTGAGTGACATCGCTCATCTCTGGCAGCAGGGACACTCTGGAGATGAGCACTATCATTCACCATAGCACAGCAAGGGAAGCCTGTCAGCATACATCTCCTTGTGTGTTCTTGCATTACAAAAAATGTCATGGGTGTTGACAAGTGTTGATGCATGTAGGACATTCCAGAGCAGCAATCACAAACAGTAAGCCTGGTTTATTGTAATGTCTTGGGGGGGAATATACCAGGAGGATATAGCATAGCTCAAACCTGCTACCTCCTGACCTCCTTGGTGCTACGTGCAATGTGTATGCTTGTGAGTATATGCCCAGGTTTGCTGCCTAAAGACCATTGCAGGAGTATGTTATACTAAACCATCTAAAAGCTGCCAATACCCAATGAGATTTCTCTTATGCAGCCCCAAGGAATGAACAAGAAAAAGACACTTGATCCCCCCAAATCCACACAAAACAGGATGGACAGACAAACCTATCCTCCCAGCTTTTGTATTCTGACAGGTGGCATTCATGGCTGTCAGGATGAATAAAGTGATTGCATCTATTCAGATGTAGGTGCTGTTCAGCCAAAAACTGTCCATCCAGTTCCACACAAGGAATTGTTTGATTAAGCAGAAATCAGCCAAAATTTTATATAAATCTGCCTGCAGAAGGTACATAAATGTGACTTTGCTATATGTGCCGCTAGTATATTGCCTAGCAGTTGTGCAACACAATTACTTGATTACAGGCACAATACTATGAATAAGAAAAACACAGTGATAGGTGTCCTCAGTGCTGCCAAAATAGGAAAGCCCATAAAAAAGACTTATGCCTGGGGAGATGAACAGATTTTTTTTTTAAAGCTCTGCAAACAATCTTTGAAGAAAAAAAAAAAAAAAAAAAAAAAAAAAAAAAAAAAAAAAAAAAAAAAAAAGGGAGCTTATTTTAAAGGTCATACCTGTAGGCTGTGTGCAGCCCCTCCCATGCCTTTCAAAGCTCCTGGTTTGAGCAACTCTCCCTATCCTGCCTAGATGCCAGGACTTGCTGGATGTTTGGCCCCTGCCTTCCAGTACTGCAAGAACTACCAACTGTGCCAGATTCAAACTTCACGCATGGCAGTGTGCTCTGTCTGCTGCATCAGTGAGTGCCCTGCGCATGCACTGGTTTTCTCGGTGCTGAGGGGGGCCATACAGACTTAAGGAACGACATTTAAAAAGCATTTTGCTCCAACGCTACACAGTGGTTTTTAATCGGACTTTGATCTACTGGGGACACTTGAATGCATTTTCTCACCCTATAGGTTGATTTCCCAAGCTTAGTGACAAGTTCACTTTAAAGTGGAATTGATTTTCATCTGTTTCAATCCTCACCCTTGGTCATCACACCCCTTATCTTTTACAGGATTGCTCTGCAACTAGCATGCTTGATATATCAAGCAATAAATCTCAGTCCTGATTTACTCAGAGCAATAGTGAGGTCAATGACAACATAGCCCATCTTGTAACCGCAAAATACTTCAGCGCAATTATAATTGGTCCCACCTCCAATAAAATACTGCTGCTGACACTAAATGCGTTCCCACATATACAAATAAACTTTACAAACCAGTGCCGCACAATTCTGTGTGTTGCAAATTTATATAGTGCATAACTTATGTGTAAGCCTCACAATAAAGTGTGTGCGCAAATATGCAATACAAAACAGATAAACTCCCACATAACTCCTTATAAAGTGAATATAATAACCACAGTGCCAAACATTACATATAGAGTGTGATCATCTTGCAATATACGACTCCCACATGGTACTTCAAGTCCTTATAAAATGTGAAAAATTTCTCTTTAAAAAGGTCAATATGTTCTCATAGATATTCATGCAACTTCCTGGCATGTTGGAAATCACGCTTGTGCGTTTCTCCTCCACCAGCACACATACAGTTAGGTCCATATATATTTGGACACAGGCACAATTATAGTTTTTTCAGGTATTTACCAAAACATATTCAAGCTATAGTTATATAATGGATATGGACTGAAAGTGAACTCTCAGGTTTAATTTGAGGGTATGTACATCCAAATTGGAGGAAGGGTTTAGGAATTACAGCTCTTAGGAGTAACCATCCCCCCTTTTTTCAAGGGACCAAAAGTAATTGGACAACTGAATCAGACGATGTTTCATGGCCAGGTGTGGGCTACTTCTTCGTTATTTCTTCATCAATTAAACAGGTAAAAAGCCTGGAGTTTATTCTAAGTGTGGTATTTGCATTTGGAATCTATTGCTGTGAACCTAGATCATGAGTTCAAAGGAGCTGTCCATACAAGTGAAACAGGCCATTGTAAGGCTTCAAAAATGAAACAAATCCATCAGAGAGATAGCAGCAACATTAAGAAGAGTGGCCAAATCAACACTTTGGTACATGCTGAGGAAAGAAGAATGCACTGGTGAGCTCAGCAACATAAAAAGGCATGGACGCCCACGGAAGACAACAGGGATGGATGAGTGCAGGATCCTCTCTATGGTAAAGACAAACCCATTCACAACATCCAGACAAGTGAAGGACACTCTCCAGAAGGTGGGTGTATCATTGGCAGTCTACAATCAAGAGAAGACTTCATGAGAGCAAATACAAAGGGTTCACCACAAAGCGCAAACCATTCATAAGCCTGAAAAATAGAAAAGCCAGATTAGACTTTGCCAAAAAAAAAAAAAAACTATAAAAGCCATACCAGTTCTGGAAAAGCATTCTGTGGACGGATGAAACGAAGATTAATCTGTACCAGAATGACGGGAAAAAAAAAAGTGGATCTCATGATCCACTTTTTTTTTTCCCGTCATTCTGGTACAGATTAATCTTCGTTTCATCCGTTCCAAGCCTTCTCCACAAAGCACACACACATCATTTGCAAAACATGGTGGAGGCAGAGTGATGGCATGGGTATGCAAGGCTTCCAGTGGCACCTGGGTCATTGGTGTTTATTGATGATGTGACAGAAGACAGAGGCAGCCAGATAAATTCTGCAGTGTTTAGAGATATACTGTCAGCCCAGATTCAGCAAAGTTGGTTGGATGGAACTTCACAGTACACATGGACAATGATCCAAAACACACTGCAAAAGCAACCCAGGAGCTTAAGGAAAAGAAGTGGAATATTCTGCAATGGCTGAGTCAATCACCTGATCTCAACCCAATTGAGCATGCATTTCACTTGCTGAAGGCAAAATTAAAGGCAGAAAGAACCACAAACAAAGAACAACTGAATACAGCTGCAGTTAGAGCCTGGCAAAGCATCAGAAAGGAGGAAACCCAGTCTTTGGTCATTTCCATAGGTTCCAGACTTTAGGAAGATGAGGAGTAGTGAGGGACATGGAGCCTACAAGGTGACCAACCTGGATTACAGTGTGGAGGAGATTGGAGGTGGAGAGATAAAGAAAAATATATCTACCTGGGTTATAAGGGAAAGGTGCTTTTTGACCTAAATACTTATATGTCAAATCCAGGCGTTTAGAGTATATATGCGCACTGGTGGAGAAGAAACACACAAGGGTGATTTCCAACACGGCAGGAAGTTGCTTGAATATCTATGAGAACATATTGACCTCTTAAAATTTGCACATTTTATAAGGACTTGAATTACCATGTGGGATTCATATATTGAAAGATGATCCCTGTATATGTAATGTTTGGCACTGTAGTTATTATATGCACTTTATAATGAGTTATGTGGGAGTTTCTGTTATATTGCATATTTGCACACACACTTTATTATGAGGATTCCATATATGTTATGCACAATATAAATTTGCAACACTGTGTATAATACGTCAGTATTGTGCGGCACTGGATTGTAAAGTTTACAGTACATCTTGTGTTACTACCAGTGAGGGTTTTGCAGAGCATTTCTCATCTATGTCACATTAAAAGTGATCCCTCCTCCTATACTGCAAATATTAAAATAGGAAGCAAGGTCATGTAACCTAATTTTCACATATTGGTTTCTTTACAATTTTAAAAGATTTTTTTTGTTTCTTAAACGATTAACAGGGGTTTTTCTACTGAGCCATTTTATGGTGCACTGTCCTCCACTTTAATATGCAGGTCCAGGACTCAGAGGGAAACAAGCTTTAAAAAATAAATAAATAAAATAAAAGATAAAAACTGCTTAGTTACCCAAAATCGTGAGCAGCATGGTCACTCTGTACAATATTACATCACTAATGCCACCTTTTAGATGAACTGGAACATCATCATCTTTCTGTAAAATAAAAAAAAAAAAAAAAAAAAGATAATTACTCACAATTTGCGATAGCGAGATGTAGATCTCATAATATGTAGATTTAGTGATCCTTCAAGTACAATAATGTTTTATATATCAGTGTACCCAATTTTCTTCCATTAGTGCTGGGGCCATCCTAACAGGTATCAGCTGAAAGCATTCCTTCTGCTCCATCACAAAGACAAGTAGCTGCACTGGGCAATACCAATGAGAAGGCAGGAAGGGGCAAACAAACTTCCATACTAGCAGAAGTGTCTGCACTTACACACGACAGATTTTTTATTTTTTTTTTTTTTTTTTATACCAACAGACACTAAAGAATACGTGCGGTTAGTGACAACTTATGCCATCATGACCACTGAGAAGTCAAAGTGGCCGACTTCTGCGGTCTGTCAATAAACACAAACAGCGTGGTTCGGGAGCGAGCCCGCAGGAGTGCTCTCACAGAAAGTGGATTGCTATGGGGGCCTGGGAGGGAGGTGGGGCACTACCAGGAGCGGCGGCAAAGAGGTTCAGGGCTGCTCTGTGCAATTCCACTGGCAATGCAGTCAAGTATAAAACGGTTATTTTTATGGGGGGGAGGGGGGGAAATACAACATCTTTAAATCTTTAAAGGGGATCTGCAGCTTTTAGATAAGTTTAACCCCTTGGTGCCGGCGCCTCCCAGCCCTTTAAGGGTTTCAGAAGCCAGGAGGCGGGGTTTTAGGGTTATGTTAACGCCGTCACACGACACGGGAAAGGTCCCGATCGAAAGAAGAGATCGGGACCTTACCATGAGTACCGGACATGTATGCTGGGAGCGCGCAGGGCACGCGCTCTCAGCACATATGTTTTTCTTAATTGCACTCAAATGTGCGGCCGCTCGGCGTCTAGGCCCAGACGCTAGGAGGCCGCACATTTGTGTGCGGCCGGCGTGAAGAGGTTAATTTTGTTTGTTTTAACTAAACTGGTCCAAATGAACGAATTACTTCACTAAGAGATGCAGCGGCTCTCAGCGCTGTATGTAGCCTCAGCAGCATACGTTATACATTGCCGTGTTCTGGGTGTAGGACAGAGACTTTCAATTCCACTCCAAAAGCAGAACTACATTTTTCACAATGATATTAGTAGTAAAAGTGAGCGCTATCCAGACAGCAGCTGTGCACTCAAGGTAACCAACATAAACCTTATAAACAGAATGAATAAACAGTGCAGCACTAGAAATATGATTGACAATAAATATTCTAAATAAATTATATTAAAATCAAAAGTTCCATGTAAACAGTCTGTGTGATTATAAAGTGCCAGGTGACTGGTAGACTCAATGGTGGTGCTCCGTGAGTAAAAGCAGAATTGCGCACTCACCAGAAGTAAAATGATTATACGTGTTATATATCACATCCAGAGGTATCCTCATCAGGTATAAGTCTGGTCAGGTTAGGTTTTCCTCCCTCAAGGTAGTAATCATCAAATGCCCAAAAGCGGAATTATTCTGGTCTAGGTAACCAGAGGTCCCTGTTAGGGGATGGGTAGAAGGAGCTGCCTGCTTACAGGATGTCTTCCTCCTCTTGGTAAGGTAACTGGATCATAATACTGGGCTCTGAATAAATACTCCTCTTTTGTGGTGAGTGCAACATTAATTCTTCGGTCTGGATCATCACCAATCTCAAGCTGTATCAAAACACGTCCATAATTCATCCACAGGGTTAGCAGCGTCCAGCTGTAGATGTTTTGTCAGTTTGTAGCAGAAAGTGCAACACACAGCCAGGTCTCCTCTCAACTCCTACATCACCAGGTGGCGATTCCGCTTTTGGGCATTTGATGATTACTACCTTGAGGGAGGAACACCTAACCTGACCAGACCTATACCTGATGAGGATACCTCTGGATGTGATATATAACGCGTATAATCATTTTACTTCTGGTGAGTGCGCAATTCTGCTATTTCTCACGGAGCACCACTATTGAGTCTACCAGTCACCTGACACTTTATAATCACACAGACTGTTTACATGGAACTTTGATTTTAATATCATTTATTTAGAATATTTATTGTCAATCATATTTCCAGTGCTGCACTGTTTATTCATTACATTTTTCACAGCTATTCACAGGGAGTTTTGTATTCTATGAAAAGTACAAAGCTTCCACTGACTGGATGAAGCAGAGCTTGTGACACCATTTGGACCAGATTGTTCCGAATTAACTATTTAAAAACACAACTAAAAGCCAAAGATCAGCTTTAAAGCACAGAAAATTATTCACAGTAGAATGATGGACAAAACTTTTCTTCATTTTGGATAGAGTAAGGGAGGGTTACAACCCCTGCCAGGTTATTTTTGCCATCAGAGTCCCAATTAAGAGATTTCCCTTCACTTCCTGTTCCATAGCCAAAACAGGAAGTGAGATAATCCCTGCAAGTTAGGGGAATTCCTTGGGGACCCCCCAGTCACCATAACTAGTGTCCCCATTGTAAGAAGATTTCCTCTCTTACTTTTCTGGGGACAAGCCAAAATTTGGGGTTTTCTTTACCTTCATTTTCAATGATAATGGAAAACAGGACAAATAGAGAGAGGGTGAATCTTCCAAATGGGGGCACAGACTGCAATAAAACCCAACAAGTGTTCTAATCTACCTCCACTCTGTACAAAACAAAAAAAAAAAAAAAAAGTTTTGCCTTTAGCTATACTTTAAGGTCCAATTGGTAACACAAGTTTGTGGTTTTGTGCCTATTTCACATACTTCGTGCTGCAGCAAGGGTTGACATATCCAGTAGCGGCAGCACACAAGTCAGATGGCGGTTTCCATACAAAAATCATAAAATATCTCAGGCTCCCTGAGCAGCACTGTTAGTTGAAGTAGTGTGCAGTTGGGCATATTGGACCAATCATGACCTAGACTGCTGCGTTGTGCGAGAGCCACGACTCTCCCAGGTGCTGCAAACAAGGGTAGGACTGTATTACAGAAAAAAGAGACGGCTAAATTGGGCTTAAAAGGTTAATGTGGAGTCATTATTTGAAATTTTGCCCACTGTTCCTCTCTTCCCCTCACTTGTCCATGCATATTTGACAAGCAAAAGTAATATTGTGAGAATACAATTATAAAATCATGTACATACCTGAAAGAACTTCTGTTTTTCTGGAACTTTGTTTTGCAGTGACTTTTTTCGGGCAGAAGTCGTTAGGATCGCTGGGAGATCTGACGGAGGGCCTGAAACAAAACATGATCCATGTATAAAGCACCAATCCTTACACCTCTCAACTTCTAGCAGAAACATATTAGTATGTTGCCAGACCTGGCCAAGGTAGGCAAATGAAAAACGTGTTCCAATCACTACTGCTCCCCAGAGACAGGCAGCCCTAACATTTTCCTATGTCACCCCAACCTGGAGGGAATGTGACTTATTACATGCACCACCACCCACCTCTTTGTAAACGCCTTGCTCAGTGTCTACAGGTGGCCAGCTAAAGTGTGCACATCCAACAACCATAGTGAAAGGGTCGGTCTGAGAGACCTACACTGATTTCAACTTTTCACACAATCTGAAAGACACTAAATTCTGATTTCAAAAATCCTTAACTAGAATTTGTAAAAAAATCCTAAATTTGGGAGCTCACAGAGGATGTTACAAGTAGGCAGAAAAACACAGTAAGAAGTGAATTAAATATAGATTACAGGGCCATAAAGAAGTAGATGTGTATGGAGTTTTTTGGGAGAATAAGGATGATACTATCAGAATTTATATAGCGCCAACAGTTTACGCAGTGCTTTACAGCATGAGGGCAGACAGTACAATTCCAAAACAGTAGGAATTAGAAGGCCACTTTAACCACTTTAGCGCTGTCCCATAGCAGATATACTGTAACAGGGCCGCAGCTGTGAGCAAAATCATGTATATATATATACATGATTTTGCTTTTCCGGGTAGGGGGTGCGCGCGCGTCCTACCTACGCCGCCATTCGTGGCCGCGGCTGTCAATCACCGGGTCCCGGATGGCGATTACTCGCCAGCGCCCGGTGATTGCTGAGGATCTCCGACAGGAATGGGTATATCCCTCTTGATAGCTGCCATTATCCCCCCCCCCTGGCTTTTAAACATTCCTAAGGGCCAGTTTGTGCGTCTACGGAGAAATTGCACGTTGGAAGCAGATTATGAAGAACAGGTTAAAATCATTGGGGAACGGTTTGAGAAAAAAGGTTACACATCAACACATATTAAGAAAGAAATAAAGAATATTGGAGAAATGGATAGATCATTGATGTTGATTGATAGAGTGAAAGATATGAATATTAATGATCAGGTAGCCATAATTTTAGATTTTAATGTACATTGTAAAAAAGTTGAATCTTTAAAAGACATTGGCCAGTGTTGAAAGCGGATCCCATTTTAAATAAAATTTTATTGGAACGCCCCACATTTATTTATCGGAAGGCACCTACGATCAGGAATAAAGTGGTAAAAAATGTGGTAGACCCACCAGGAAATAAAAAAGGAGTAACATTTCTAGACCAGAAAGGTTTTTTTCCCTGTAGGAATTGTTTTGCTTGTAAAGAGACCAAAGGGCATAACAAAAGGATGTTCTCCTTTACAGCCTATTCCACAGGACGAGAGTTCCTGATTCGAGATTTTATTTCATGTAGGACGGAGGGGGTTATATATGGTTTGGAGTGCGCATGTGGACTCCAACATGTGGGCAGGACTAAGAGACCACTTTGGAAGCGATTACGTGAACATGTGCAGAACATTAAAAAAAGGTTTTCCCAAGCACAATGTGTCTAGACACTTATTGACGCATCATAATAGAGACCCCTCCACATTAAAATTTTGGGGCATTGAAAAGTATAAAGGTCACTGGAGGGGACTTAATAAAGTACGTTCCCTTAGCCAAGCAGAGTCAAGGTTTATTTATGAGATGCGAACGCAGGCCCCGCCCGAGGGGTCTAAACGTGGATTTTGACTTAAATTGCTTTTTAAGTGACTTTTAGATATGGGATATTGTTTGTCTGTATATTCTATTGGTGACAATTTTATTGTATTTTAAATTTTAGATTTATATCGACCTGGTACATACTAGTGATTTATTAATTGTTAGTGATCATGTTAATGTTGTGAACCTATGCTATGGGTGTCTGTATGGCTTGGTAGGTTCCCTCTTTAATAAATTCCATTTTTTATTATTTAATTATTTATTGATCTTAATAGGGATCAATAAGTGAGAGTTTGATGAGTATAGTTTTATATAAATACATTTTATAAATATATTCTTTTATGTAGATATAAATGTATAATTTTATTATTAAATGAGCCTATATGAGGATTTTTAGTATATATGCCCCATTTATTTTTTTCCACTAGATGGCTCACTTCTACTGGTAAGGGTTTATTCTCCTCCTAAGAATGTGTTAATTTATTTAATAATTGTTTGGAGCATTGTTTTTATTCATGTATTTTAATTTGTTTTTATTAGATTCTATTATATATTTCCCCTGGAGCAAGTTTAGTCACATGCACTTTAATAGGATATAGCACTGATAACACCCATTATTTTGTAGTAGGATACTGACTTCTAGATTATGGCCATCGGAGGTTATTATTCCTCCGAGTATAAGTCAGCGTCTGCAGGCAATGGTGGGAAACTGGCTCCTTTAAAATGGACGCCAGAGGTCCGCCTCTGGATGATTATTGGTGCGAGTTCTCCTATATAAGGAAGCCCTGTCCTCTATGGGCGTTACCCTGAAGTCACGTGTTGAACGTGACGCAACACGTCGGTACGTGGGGAGGAGCTTCCGGTGACGTCATTTCCGGCGGGGGGCCCATATTGGATCACCCTGTTGTTAATACCCATGCAGTACACCCATAGCATGTGGTAGGAAGCTGTAAAAAATTGTGGCTAATGTGAGTGGAATTCTTTTTATCTGTTAATTGATCTAATAAAACTGGTTGCACTATGGAGGGTCTCTGCTTGTGTCTCATTATGACCCTGGGAGGAGCTGGTTACTAGTCTGGTGGAGGCTGGAGACGAGAGGGGAAAACCTGAGAGGAACCCATTCTGATAGGGATCGCTTGATCCTCAAAGTGTGCTGGCCCTGTGGGGTCTACTTAAGGAGGTGAGGGGGCATTTTGGCCGTTAAAGCATTGGCACATGTGAATCACGCACACTGCACATTACTTTTGCATGAAGAGTGAAGTGGGAGGCCCACCATAAAGCATCGCATTATTATTATTATATTTTTTGGACTTTGCAATTGATTATTTGTTCACCAATTTTGAGCACCAGTATGTTTTTTGTCACAATATTGAATTAAGATTGGATTTGTCACTTTATGCACTGGATATTCCCCACAAGTGAATTCACGCATGACACGATTATTTACTCCTTTGTTTATCATCTCGGATATATATATTTAGGGGATGTGTATTGTAATCACTGATTCACTTAATATTCATATATATATATTTTTTAGTGTTGCTAGCGCTACACTGTTTATTTTAATTGACTATTCACTTATTTGGGTATAAGGTTAGTGTCAGCAGCTTTTGAGGGTAGGATTCCATTTAAGCGCAGGAGGTCTTTTGAATATTTTTTGCAGTTTTATTACTTATCACTGAAACCAACTCTTGCACAATCATTTGTTGACAGAATGCCCATTAAAAGTAAATGTAATATACCCTTCTAGCGACATGACCCTTGGAAAACATTTTTCCAAAATACTGGACAGGATTCCGCTCTAATTTGTTATCATACAGATAATACAGACGTGCAGAAGGAAAAAAAAGCAGACATGTAGAGTCTGTAAACCAATGTGGTAGCATTGCTGCAGAATGCAGGAAGTGACAGCACACTCCTACTCTGGGTAATTCATGCATTATTTCAGTGTATACTCTACTGAGCAAAAGGCTTCCATAGTAGGAGGATCAGCTAGAGCAGGGGTCTCCAAACTGCGGCCCAAGGGCCGGATGTGGCCCTAGGCGCACTATTCTTCCCACTGACACCAACAGTGGGGCAGTACTTCTTCCCATGAAACCAATGACGGTGTACTATTCTTCCCACTAATACCAAAGATGGGGCGCTACTCCTACTAACCAACAACCCTAAGGCCATGTTTATTCTCACTGATGCTGGGACCAGGACATTTTCTATCCTCACTGGCCCTAATCCAGCCCTCCTAAAGTCTGAAGGACAGTATACTGGCCCTTTGTTTGAAAGGTTTGGAGACCCCTGACCTAGAGCAACCACCTCAACCAGGGTTTCTACACAGTTTACTAGGGGGTACTTATGGCTGATTGCCCTCCTACCTGGTGGTGACTGCACACACCGAATCCAATGTTACTTAGCAAATTGGCAGAATGACATTTTAGTTGCCTGTAAGGGCATTCTATCCACTGATTAATGCTGTATTGAGCACCAACTTAAGAGGGCACTCTACCTGTTGACCTCCACTGTAAGGGCAATTTTTCCACTGATCAACACTGTAATGGAGGGGCATCCAACCCATCAATCTCAACTGTAAGAGGCATCCTACCCACCAATCACCAAGGTAGGCAGGCATCCCAACCACAAATCAGTACTATAGGGGGGACATCTTAGCCACTGAGCACCACTGTGAGAGGGCATCTTACCCACTAAGCGCCACTGTATGAGTGGGGGTCTTATTGTAGAGTGGGGCTTACCCACTGAGCACCACTGTAGGAGGTGGGGGGAGCTAACACCCACTGAGCACCTTTGAAAGGGGGGGGTTTACCCACTGAGAACCATTGAAGGATGGGATCTTACCCACTGTATGGGGATCTTACCCACCGATCAACAAAGCAGTGGGCAGGGGCATCTTACCCAGCCATCCCCACTGTGGGCGGGGGCATCTTACCCACCCATCCCCACTGTGGGGGCATCTTACCCACTAATCACCAGTGTAGGGAGGGGGGCATCCTAAACACTGATCACCTCTCTAACAAGAGCATTCTTCTCACTGATCATATATGAAATACTTTGAATGGATTCCCTGACACCTGCCCGGACAATGTACACAGGTCAGTAAAGGCTGATCTAGTGTGACGTGTCTGCTCACACAGTCATAACAGCAGTCCAGGGATCTCCACACATACCCGCTCTAATATGCCCCTTCCTACAAATCTGACACACAGGAAGCTTGCTGTAGAAGCGATTAGCCGGGAGCACCAAGGTCACCGGTCCATAGAGAACACATACACTTCAGTGTGATGAGGACATGGATACAGAGATCTCCCCGCCATGAGCCCAGCACCGCCTGTACACAGTC